TATGACATGACAATGTTATGAAATGGCAATTTAATGACAATGTTATGACATGACAACATTATGACAATGTTATGACATGACAGTGTTATGACAATGTTATGACATGACAATGTTATGGCATGACGATGTTATAAGATCATAATATTGTGACAAGACAATATTATGACAATGTTATGACATGACAACGTTATGACATTACAATGTTATGACAATGTAATAATGTTATAACATGACAATGTTATGACAATATTATAACATGACAATGTTATGACATCACAATATTATGACATGACAATGTTATGACATGACAAGATTATGACATGATAATATATGACATGGCAATGTTATGTCATGGCAATATTTGACATGTCAATGTTATGACCATGTTATGACATGACAATGTAATGACAAGGCACTGTTATGACATGACAACGTTATGACATGACAATGTTATAACATAACAATATTATAACAATGTTATAACATGACAATTTTTTAATATGACAATATTATAACATAACAATGCCGTAACATGACTTTTTTATGACAATGTTATAACACGACAATGTTATAACATGACAATATTATGTCATGACAATGTTATGTCATGACAATGCATGTTATGACATGACCAAGGTATGACAATGCTATGACATGACAATATTATGACAAAGCAAAATTATGACATAACAATGTTACGACATGAAAATGTTATGACAATGTTATGCCATGACATTGTTATGCCATGACAATATTATGACATAACAATGTTATGACAATGTTATTATATGACAATATTATGACAATGTTATGACATGACAATATTATAACAATATTATAAAATGATAATATCATAACATGACAATATTATGACCTGACAACGTTATGACAATTTTATGACATAACAATGTTATGACATGACAACGTTATGGCAATGTTATGACATGAAAATGTTATGACAATCTTATGATATGACAAGCTTATGACATAACAATGTTATAACAAGGTTATAAGATAACAATACTATAACAATGTTATAACATAACAATGTTATGTCAATGTTATAACATGACAATATTATGACAATGTTATAACAATTTTATGACATAACAATGTTATAAGATAAAAATGTTATAGGATAACAATGTTATAAGGTAATAATGTTATCACAATGTTATAGCATTACAATGTTATGACATGGCAATGTTATGACATTACAATGTTATGACCTGACAGTGTTAGGACAATGTTATGGCATGACAATATTATGACATGGCAATGTTATGACATGACAATGTTATGACATGACAATGTTATGACATGACAATGTTATGACAATGTTATGATGTGACAATATTATGACATGACAATGTTATGACATTGTTATGACATGACAAATTTTAACACGCCAAAGTTATGACAATGTTATGCCATGACAATATTATGACATGGCAATGTTATGACATGACAATGTTATGACAATGATATGACATGACAATGTTATGACATGACAATAATATAACATGACAATGTTATGACAATGTAATAACGGGACAATGTTATAACATGACTATGTTGTAACATGACAATATTATGACAATATTATAACATGACAATGTTATGAGATGACAATGTTCTGACATGACAATGTTATGACATGACAGTATTTTGACAATGTTATGTCATGATAAAATTATGACATGGCAATATTATGACATGATAATATTGCGATATGAGAATGTTGTGACAATGTTATGACAATGTTATGAAAATGTAGTGATCTGACAATGTTATGACACAACATTGTTATGATATGACAATGTTATGGCAATGTTATGACATGACAATATTATGACATAACCATGTTAAGACATGACAATGTTATGACATGGCTATGTTAAAACATGACAATGTTCTAACATGACAATGTTCTAACATGACAATGTATGAGACGGCTATGTTAAGACCTGACAATGTTGTGACAATGTGATAACATGACAATGTTCTAACATGACAATGTTACAACATGACAACATTATGACAATGTTATAACGTGACAATGTTCTAACATGACAATGTTATGAGACGGCTATGTTAAGACATGACAATGTTATGACATGTCAATATTATGACATGACAATTTTATGACAATGTTATGACATGGCAATGTTACAACATGGCAATGTTATGACATGACAATGCTATGACAATGTTGTAATATGACAATGTTATAACATGACAAGGTTTTGACAATGTTATAACATGACTATGTTATAACATGACAATGTTTTGCCAGTGTTATGACATGTAAATATTATGACATGACAATGTTATGACATGACAACATTATGACAATGTTATGACATGGCAATGTAATGACATGACAATGCTATGACAATGTTATAACATGACAACGCTATAACATGATAATATTATTAAAATGTTATAACAGGATGGTTCAGGGACAGAATTCTCATCTTCCATGAAAGAGACTTGTGTTCTATATACAACTCACGATACTCTGGCTCTTATTAATGATGCAGAATGCTTCCTGGCAAATAGTGGGTACTCGAATGACACTTGTTAAATAATCCAAGTCCAAAGTAGAAACACCAAACAATCTCGTCCAAGAACTCAAAGGGAATGAGTGTTCTCAGCTTCTTACCGCCAAAAGGCTCAAATGATTCTCTGACAAAGAGTGGGATTCCAAACAAACAACAGGAAAAATAGCTGAACTAAGCGCAAATGAGCCAGCTCTTGAAAATGATCTGAAAGCTTATCTGAAGTTTTATCACCAGCTTTAAATTCCCCACAGTAAACCTAGTAGGAATTTAACATCTAAATTTTAATGCAAAGAAGAATCTTAACACTCACCTGCATGCTCACAGGTGTGATCTAGACCTTCTTACAAGAAATTATTAATAAACCAGTCCAATCCCACACTGTACTGCTGAGGGGAGAAAACATCTAAAATTATGCTAACTACTGTGTTATGACAAAAATATTTATGAAAATATATTTTGCTCCAAGTTCAAACTCCACTGGAGTCATCCCAATTTGCACTTTCACCTTAGATTAATAGCAAACACTGTATTCCAACTATAGAGCAAAGTTAAAAAAATTATCTCTCATAAAAATTAGTCCCCATAATAATAGCACAGTGAAAGAAATGCAAAGTATTCAAACTGGCATCTCAGGTGATGGTTTTCTTTATGGTTCAAGATTAGTCAGGTTAGCACTCTGAGGTTTTTTTTTTTTACCACTCTCTGAGTTTTAATAGGTAGAAGATAATGCTTTCCATCTGATAAAGGGTAGAAGTCAGCCTGTCTGCCTTTGGTGATGGTCCAAAAATCTCTATTTAAGATCCATGAACTGGATATCCATGATGAGAAGGAAGTTCTTAGGCAGTGGGCGGGGGGCTGGAGAGAGGACCGTAAACACCTGATGCTCCAGGTCCACACTGGTCACCACAATGAAGCCGGCAACGCTCGTCTCGGACAGGTTCTCCTCCGTGCCCTCAGCGGTGCTAACGCTCAGCAGATGATGCACCATGTCTCGTCCCGGGGTAACAGGTACTAGCTTGAGCTGATTGTCTTCCTGAGACATGCCCAGAGGCAAACAGGAATCTGGAATGGTGGGGGCCCCGACTTTGTAGATTTTCACATCTGAAAACTTGACATTGAAGGCATGGGGGTAGAAACAGCCACGGAATCCATAAAAATACTCACAGATACGTTCGTCCCTACATTCTCGCCGGAAGTCCTTGGAGCGCTCAACTACACCCCCTGATTTAGGAAGGAGTACAGTATGTACAAAGTGGGGCAACTCCCGTTTCAATTCATTGTACAGCCGTTTTTTTGGTGTTTTTTTTTTTTTTGTACAGCCGTTCTTGATCCAGAACCACAACATCTACCTCAAAAGCTGAAGCTGCATGCACCAGAGCCTGGTAACCAGAGCCCTTAACCCAGCCACAGGTGTTAATGACACAGCCACTCACAGAGGCCCTCCAGTTCACCTCACAACTCTGGTTGAACACCTGTGCC